CTACCATTGAGCTACAATCCCAGGCCCATCCCTAGCCCTTTTTATTTTCAGACAAGGTCTCACCAAGTTGGTTAGGCCTTGCAAAGTTTCTGAGGCTGGCCTTAAACTTTCAATCCTCCTGTCTTAGCCTCCTAAGTTGTTGGGAATACAGGTGTGTGTCACCATGCCCTGCTTGAATTCTCTTTTCTATTTACACAAAATGTTTTATTATGTAATTCAGACATGAGAGCTATTATAGTGAGGTAAACTCTTGATCTTTGTATGGTTAGGGCAGAAGAAGAGTTTCACAGAGATGGTGACATTTGAGCTGACCTCAGAGTCTGTGTAGAATTTCACTGTTAGAGAGGTACAATCCTTGAGTAAGGGAACAGCTCAGGAAGACAAAGAGACAAGAAAACTTCAGTTTTTATAAAGAGTAAGAAGTGTAGCTCTTTGGCTGAAGAACAGGATTCTAAAGATCTAGGAGAGTAGGAGAATGAGTTGAAACAGACCTTAGAATCAAGATTCTTAAATGCTTACCTAAAACTTCCCACTTTGGGTAGTGGAAAACCATCAAACATTCAAACATTGAAAAATATAGCGAAGACTACCTCTGTTTCACTCATTGTTATTTTTGTAATGTCAAACATATATTAAGTACTTTAAAAATATGTATGTGCAGGCTGGGGATGTGGCTCAAGCGGTAACGTGCTCGCCTGGCATGCGCGGGGCACTGGGTTCGATCCTTAGCACCACAGAAAAATAAAATAAAGATGTTGTGTCCACTGAAAACTGAAAAAATAAATATTAAAAAAATTAAAAAATATGTATGTGCAGTGTATAAGTGGTTGAATTTATGAAACAACATAATTAGATTTGTATTTTAGAAGAATTTGTCAGTTCTAGGGGATGGAATGGAGTGCATGTGGGTACAGGGAGATCCACAACAATTACTTTGCTCCAGTTTCTAATTTCTCAACTCTTCGATTTATACTCCTTTTCCTCATTCCTTTCACACAGTAACCAGAAGGATCTTTGTAAAGCATACCAGGCATAAAGATTTCCTGTTTATTTCTTTTCAGGATGAAATCTAAACGCTTAATAAGGCCCAGCATTTTTGGTTCCAACCCACCACTCACTTTATTCTCTTTGGTGTGTCCCTCTCTCTTTGCTTCAGTCACACTGATGGCCTTTTTACTTCTTGAATATGCCTAGTTATGTCCCATAATAGGGTCTTTTCACATGCTGTTATTCAAAAATTTCATCCTCCATTTTTTTTATCCAATAAACTATTTGCCTGTTAAATCCCCTATTTTATTTTATTGAATAGATAATACATCTACATGGAACAAAATTTAAAAGGTGCAAAAGAAACTAAAAAGTTAGTCTCTTTTCCTTCTAGCCACTTACTTTCTCCACTTGAGGATAATCACTGTTAACCATTTTCTTCTGAATTCTGGTCTCATTTCAAATGTCATTTTTTCAGAAACCTTTGCTGATATTCCATTCTAAAATAGATATGTTTATTGTGTTGTCATAGCTGTCTATGATTTCTTTTTTTATCACTTATGAAAATTTGTATCTTATATTTATTTTGTGACTATTCCACTAGTGATTCCACTAGGCTGTAAGCTCTAAAAACAGAGTTTTGTTGGCATTGTTCACTGTTGTATCCAATATCATAAGTATTCAATAATTAAACTCTTCCTGGGCTGGAGATGTGGCTCAAGCGGTAGCGTGCTCTCCTGGCATGCGTGCGGCCCAGGTTCGATCCTCAGCACCACATACAAACAAAGATGTTGTGTTTGCCAATAACTAAAAAAATAAAATAAATATTAAAAAATTCTCTCTCTCTCTCTCTCACTCTCTCTTAAAAAAAAATAAAATAAATAAATAAATAAGCTCTTCCTAAGCCTTGGTTATTTGTCTAAGTTCATCTTTTAACATCCTGTTCCTCATGCTCTGCTTTGAAATTCTTTCTGGTCCTTCTCCTCTCTATACCTTGTTTTCTCTTTGCTAAATCCTTCCTGTCCTTCAAGTTTTACTTAAAAATCATCTGCTCCAAGAAGCCTTTCCTGATCCCTCATCAACTAAAGTGCTCCTTCCTTGCATGTGCAGGTCCTATCATAGATAGCCCTTATCACCCGACATTGATGTACTCTTTGTCTCCCTAGATGATAGGTTCTGTATTGCATGGACTTTGTTCATTGTTTCAACTCTGGCTTCTGGGGTAGTGCTTGGTACCAGTCAGATCTCCACACATAGTAGGTTAGTTATATACTGCATAGTTTCACAATTCGTGTGTATCATTTACATAGCTCTGATGTTACAATTGTCACTGGCTACCTGGATGCATAATAATAAGTATTCATTGAGTGAGTGAACATACTTTAGAGAGTTCATTGCTTTTTAGGACGTCATATTTTGAGATAGTAAAATTATGTTAGATAGGACTCATTTTTAAGGTTCTGATCTGAGGATCATCATGTCCCCATTAAAGAAATTTTGATATCAGCCTCTTGGGTGGAGCCCCAGGTTGAAGGATCTAGAGCTCAAAGCCTCAAAGGTCTTATGTTCAGAGAGATACAATTGGGGCAGCAGCCTAGGACATACCTCATTTATGTTCATTACTCTTTGGGAATTTCTAGCTGAAAACACCTCCCTCAGGTTGGTGTGGTGGTACATGCCTGTAATCCCAGCTACTCAGGAAGCTGGCCCAAGTCTGAAGCCAGCTCACCAGCTTAGCAAGGAAAGATCTCCTTCTTTTTGCATGGTAAACTCTTGCTCCTCTTTTAAGAACACAGCTATTATGTCTTCTGAACCTATTCCCCTGCACCCTGTACCCCTACCTCAAAAGCAAAGTTAATTATCCCTTCCTTTGTGTACCTACAACATTGCGCACATCTCTATTAAAGTAATTTGTAGGGATGGTGTTGTGGCTCAGCGGTAGAGCGCTTGCCTAGCACATGTGAGACCCTGGGTTCAATCCTCAGCACCACATATAAATAAATAAAATAAGGGTATTGTGTCCAACTATAACTAAAAAATATTTTAAAAGTATACCCCCCTTATGGTATACAAATCCTCATCCTTCCTGAGGAGACCTTGAATGTTTCAAGAAAAAGCAGCATATTTTATTTACCTTTGTAATGTCCCAGTGTCTACACAATTGTTGGCATGTAATTGTAAATATGGACTAGTCCATAATCATGGAAAGGAACCAAGGGATATCTTGGTAAAAGAATGTAGATTGTAAATTCAAGAAAGCCTAGAAACAAGGATTGTCTCTGATTGACCTGGCACAGAACAGACCTCCTTGGAAGCCCATTTTAGGAAACAGCCGCCTATCTGGGTATAGTGGTGCATACTTATAATCCCAGTGACTCAAGAGGTTGCAGTAGGAGGATCATGAGTTCCAGGCTAGCCTCAGCAATTTAGTGAAACCATATCTCAAAATAAAAAATAAAAAGTACTGGGGATGTAGCTCAGTGATTAAATGCCCCTGGATTCAATCTCTGGTACCAAATAACAACAATAGAAACAAAAAATAGGGACCTAAGAAACCTTTTCACTTGATGTCAGACTTCTCAATATCATTTTTGTTACCACCTGATAGAGTGATGACCCTGAGGAGATGAGGACAGGATTACAGGAGCCAGAAGGAAAAGAAGCAGGAACCTAGGACGAGGGCTTCTCCAGAGAGTAGAGACAGCAGAAAAGACAGGCAGACAAGCAGACCTGTGCATGGCTAGTTCCAGTGAATGGGGAGAGATAAGGAATGGAGACCAGAGCCAAGAAAGGTCAGATCTAGCCAGATTTTGTATTCTGGAAATTCAGTTGTTTTAATCTATTGGTTATGAACACTGGCTGTGCAGTCAGATAAACCTAGATTTATTTATTTATTTTTATTTTTTTTTAACATTTATTTATTTTTTCTTAGTTCTCGGCGGACACAACATCTTTGTTGGTATGTGGTGCTGCTGAGGATCGAACCCGGGCCGCACGCATGCTAGGCGAGCGCGCTACCGCTTGAGCCACATCCCTAGCCCCAAAACCTAGATTTAAATGGCAGTTCTGTCTCTTTCTTCCTGTATCATTTGCTGGTCATTTTGTCATTTTTTTTTTTGAGCTACCATTGCTTCTTTATTTGTAAATGAGGATAATAAGATTAAAAGGTAATATTTGTATGTGTAATATGTTTATATGAAAGCAAGAAGCAAGATGTGGTCAGCAAGTACTTCCTTAAAGGAAAATTTTGGTGGCACCTCTCTACCACAATAAGTATGTATATAGGGATATTCTCTTTCTCTTTCTCTCTCTCTGGTACTGAGGATTTACCACTGGTCTTTTTTATTTTGAGATGGTCTTGCCAGGTTGCTTAGGCTGGCCTCAGCTTCCCAAATTGCTGAGATTACAGACATGTACCACCTCTCCCGGTTTAGGGATCCTCCTTTTTTTAACCTAGTAGTAGCATGCATGTACACTATTCTGTCTTTTGTTATTGTTGTTCACTTAACATATTAACACAAATAATTCAAATTGGATGATTTCTGTTTATGATGCTGGGGCTAGAACCCAGGAACTTGTGCATGTTATGCAGGTGCTCTATAAATTTTATAGAACTTGGTGATTCTCTTCTTTACTGAACATTTTCGCTACTTGTCTCTGTATCTATAAAGTCCCAACAAAAAAGGTTATTGCCATTAAGGAACAAGAAGAGATGAGAGCCCTATGAAAATGTATTTTGTTCTCCTATCCCCAATGAGTTTTGCAGGAGAGAATTTCTCAAAAGAAAGATGGGTGGTGGGAATTGGATATATTCCATGGGCTAAAAGGGGAGAAAAGGAGGGCAAATAGAATTTGTCTAGAATCAAGAAATACCTATGGTTATTTAAACAAACAAATTGCTCTCTGGCCCCAAATATTTTCCGTCCTTCAGTGGATAATTTGCCTCCTATAATATGATCTGTCAGTCCTTGGAAGAGCTTAGAAATAGGCTTGTTTTATTTTTTCTCTTTTAGATGGCATTCTACTGACTACCAGCCGGCCCTATAAAACAAAGCCCACTCATGGGATTGGAAGATATAAGCACCTAATTAAAGAACCAGAGGTAAGGGGTAAGGAGAATCCATTAGAAAAGGGGAGTATGCAGCCTTTGCAAAGACTTGAAGATCATATATGCACAGGATGGGTAATATTGGAACTAGAAAGTAAGGGGAATTGTCTCTTAGTTCTCTCATTATTTAATTTGGGATTATCTAGATTGAGATATTTCTGTAAGAGTCCAATCTTGTCCCTAGGCCAGATTATCACACTAAAAAGAATGTGGTTTGGTTTTACTATTTGTGATTCTTTCTTTCTTTCCTTTTTTTTTTTTTTTTTGGTACCAGGGATTTAATCCAAGGTCACTTAACCACTGAGCCACATCTCTATACCATTTTTATTTTATATCTTGAGACATGGTCTCCCTAAATTGCTTAGGGCCTTACTAAATTGCTAAGTCTGATTTTGAACTGGTGATCCTCCTGCCTCAGCCTCCTGAGTCACTGGGATTATAGGCATGAGCCACCATGCCCAACTGTGTATATTACTATTTTTAAAATTTCAGTTATTGAGTACTCTATACCAGGTGCTATAACTACTATGTGCCAGGCTTTAAAAACATCATTTCATTTTACACTATTATAATTGATATGTTTAATTTTTTAATATGATTTTTTAGTTGTAGATGGATACAATACCTTTATTTTACTTATTTATTTATTTTTTAATGTGATGCTGAGGCTCAAACCTAGTGCCTCATATGTGTGAGGCAAGTTCTGTGCCTCTGAGCCACAATCCCAGCCCAATATGTTTAATTTAATCCTCAGAATTTCTATGGTTGTTAAAGTCCCTGTTTGAGGAATCTAAGATGCAGCAAGATGAAATGACTTGCCCAAATGACTAGTGATTTCCAAAACTAGTATTTGCTCAGAATCCATCTAATGTCTATGCTATTTCTATTTCATATTAATTCACTATATTTAGCTTCACAATAACCTTTGCTGTAACAGATGAAGAAACTGAGGTCTAAGGTGGCCACTCAGTGTCATGGAGTGACTAAGCAGATAATTAAGATTTGAGTCCAGATTTTCTTTGGCTACCATCTGAGTCTGGTGCTCTTGATGCAGCCACAAGTTGTGCCACTTTGCCACCCCAATCAGAGCCAAGCCTTCTGTATATATGTATGTATGACATTGAGTCATAAACATGCTCACAGTTCATTATGGACTGTTCAGAGTGCCATCAGCAAATCATTCAAGTCCCAAATTGTAAATTTTAAAATTTTTATCACCAAAACTTTTGGAAACTGAGTATGCTGCAGGGCATATCAGGCTTTTGGTCTGAGGATTAGGATGATGCAATTCCTTTCCAATTTTCTCACCCTAAAGAGTGCCACCTGTGGTTAGGGATATGGCTCAGTGGTAGAATACTTGGAGTACTTGCCTAGCATGCAGGAGGACTTGGGTTAAATCCTTAGTATCACAAAGAGAGAGAGAGAGAGAGAGAGAGAGAGAGAAAATAGTAATAGACATACTCTCATCTTTCACTTTGAAATCAGAGAGAGTCTGGGGTTGGGTTTACAGACCCACTTTCCAGCCCTGACTGGACATAAACGGGTTACCTTTGCCATTTCCTTACTATTGTAACCTTATATGTGTACACATATATACTTATATATTGTAACATGTGTGTGTGTGTGTGTGTGTGTGTGTGTAAAATAATGTGAACATTTCTGTATAAAAGTGGTAATTTATCCCAGAGTTCATTTAGAGGTCCATAATATAATACTGCAGGGTCTTAAGAATGGCTACCATAGGCCATCCCATAATAAATCCAGGCCAGTCATAGGAATTCGAAGGTTTGATGGTGGACAGTAGCCCATCTTTCCTACCACCTTTCTCCTAGCCTTCCTTCTTTTCTGCCTGGCTATCTTCTATATGCAGTCAGTGTGGGGTTCCCAAAACACAGCCCTGTTTCATGTACATCCCTTGCAAAAATATCTTTAATAACTCCCTGTGGCATTCATGAAGGTGTGAACTCAGTAGGAACAAAGGAGGGGATGAATGTGAGAAAACTTGTACAGGTAAAATTACAGAAACTAGAACCTGATGTTATATGCAGTTAAGCTCTTGCTGGCTATGCTGTGCCCTGGCTTAGAACTGAGCAATAATAATATAACAATGAGCTCCTGATGATGTAGATCAGTCCAAACAAATCTAGGCCATCATGGAAAAGCATGTGAGATGTTCAGAGGGACACTGGAATCAGCTTTCTTTCTCTGTTCACCCAAAACAACATCTTTGAAGAGCCCTAGGATTTTCCTTAATTAGAAAAGCCTTCTAGGACTTCAGGGAAGTTCCTCTCCTCTCTGTTGAAAAATTTTAGCCTCTCCTCATTGCATTCAGACTTTAGAATTCTTCACAACTCAACTGCAGTGCTGTCACAGTGAGAAGTCCTGTTGTTGTATTTGGCCTTGGGCTTGGTGGGCTATGAACAAGAGAGAACAAGGCCCTGCACCTTGATGACTGATCTCTCTAGAAATTAGCACCCTGGTCTGGTCACCATTGTTAAAAACTTTACTAATACAGCTGGGTGTGGTGGCACATGCCTGTATTTCCAGAAACTTGGGAGGGTGAGGCAGGAGGACTGCAAGTTCCAGAACAACCACCGTGACTTAGTAAGACCTTGTCTCAAAATAAAAAATAAAAAAAAGTTTGGGATGGGCTGGGGCTATAGCTCAGTGGCAGAGTGCTTGCCTAGCATGTGTGAAGCACTGGGTTCTATCCTTAGCACCGCATACAAAACTAAACAAATAAAGGCATGCTGTCCATCTACAACTATAAAAAAAATTTTTTTAAGGCGGGGTGGGGATTTAGCTGAATAATAGAATACCCCTGGCTACCCCTTCCCACCACCTCTGCAAAACAAACAAAAAACCAACTTCAGAGGATGTATTGAAAAGGTCTGGGCTCTATGCTGTCTGCCTGTGTGACTCTGGAAGACATTCTCAATCTCTCACGGCTTTATATTCTGTCTACACAAAATGAAGAACCAGGACAAAAATCTCTTTCTCTCTCCCACCTCACCCTCCATGTTCCTCTCTCCCCAGCACTGGGGCTCAAACCCTGGGTAAATTAATGTTTATTGAATGTTTAAATATGTGTCACAGATTTACATATAGTATTTTGTTCAATTCTCAGAACATCCCTTCGAGATCAGGTCTATTGTCAGTATTACTAGCCTTGTGAATGGAATATTTGTGTGTCTTCCCCGTGCTAGTGCAAACTGGGTTCCTGCTGTCTTCGGCTGCTAGAGACCATTCCAGATGCTCTGGCAGCCTGTAGGCTATTGGCTCCTAGATAGAGGTGGCTTAAGACATAAGTAGAGACAGATTTTTTTTCTTCCCCCACTTTTTTTGTTTGTTTTGTTAGGTGTTGGGGATTGAAACTAAGGTCTGAGCATGCACTTTATCACTCAGCTACATCCCCAGTGCCCATTTTCTCTTTAAAAAAGTATTTCTGTCAATAGTAAGACTAAATAAATCTCCATTTATTAGGACAATATGGCATTGTCTCAGGGGCTGGGGTTGTGGCTCAGTGGTAGAGCGCTTGTCTAGAACATGCAAAGCCCTGGATTTGATCCTCAGCACCACAAAAAAATAAATAAAAATAAAATAAAGGCATTGTATCCAACTACTACTAAAAAATAAATATTTTTTAAAAATATATGGCATTGTTTCAGGATAGACAAATTCTCCAAGGGAATAAAATAAAGACTACAGGAATAGATCCACATATCTATTGACACTTAGGACACTTAGTATATGACAAAGGTAATACTGCAGTACAGTGGTACTCCGTCATTTGGGCTGGATGATTATGAGGGAAAAAAAATGATCTTTTTTGCATTTTATTTAAAGACACATCCATAACCCTTTTTTGCATTTTATTTAAAGACAGGGTCTCACTGAGACTGGCTCTGAACTCGAAATCCTCGTGCCTCAGTCTCCTGAGCTGCTGGAATTACCAGCACCTCTTCACCTGGCAAAAAGTGACTCTTGATTCCTGTTTCATACTATAAACAAAAATCACTTAAAAATGGATTATAGGCTGAGGGTGTAGTTTAGTGGTAGAGCATGTGCTTAGTTTGCACAGATCCCTAGTTTCAATCACAAGCACCAAAAAAAAAAAAAATATCAATCATAGATCTAAGTGTAAATGTTAAAATAAAGCTGCTAGAGCCAGGTGCATTGCCACATGCCTGTATTTCCAACAGCTAGGGAGGCTGAGGCAGGAGAATTGTGAGTTCAAAGCCAGCCTCAGCAACAGGGAGGTGCTAAGCAACTCAGTGAGACCCTGTCTCTAAATAAAATACAAAATAGGGCTGGGGATGTGGCTCAGTGGTCGAGTGCCCCTGAGTTTAACCCATGGTACCCGCCCCACAATAAATAAATAAATAAAGCTGCTAGAAGACAAAATAGAAGAATATCTATACATAGTGACATAAAGTCACTATAAACATAAAAGAAAAATTAATAAATTGGACTAACTTAAAATAAGAACGTTCATCAAGATACAAAATAGTAAAAAGGAAAGCTAGAGAGAAAGCAAAGATATTTGCATATACATGCAAGTGATTATGCCTAGACTATATGAAGAACTTGTATAAATCAATAAGAGAAAGACAACTCAATTTTTTTTTAATATTTATTTTTTAGTTTTTGGCCGACACAACATCTTTGTTTGTATGTGGTGCTGAGGATCGAACCCGGGCCACATGCGTGCCAGGCGAGCGTGCTACCGGTTGAGCCACATCCCCAGCCCCTGACAACTCAATTTTTAACATGAACAAAGTGGTTAGTTCAGTGGTAGAGCACATGCTTAGCATTTGCAGGGCCTTGAGTTCAATTCCTAGCAACCAGAAAATAAAAATGGACAAAATACATGAGTAGGCAGGTAATAAAAGATAATATCCAAATGGCCATAAACATAAGAAGGTACTCAGGCTCAGTAAACATAAAGGAAATGTTTGTCAAAACCTCAATGCAGGCTGGGGTTGTGGCTCAGTGGTAGAGTTTTCACGTAGCATGCATGGGGCCCTAGGTTTGATCCTCAGCATCACTTAAAAATACATGAATGGAATAAAAATATTGTGTCCAACTACAGCTAAAAAAAATAAACATTTAAAATTTTAAAAACCCTCAGTGCATTACCACTACATATACACCAAAGTGACTAAAGTGAACAAACCAACCAGAAAGCCTTACTGTACTGTTTTCTAAGTTTTGACAAGAATGCAGAGCAACTAAAACTCTCATACACTGCTGGTAGGGGACTAAATTGAAAACTACTTTGTAAAACTGTCTGAGACTATCTGTTAACAGTGAAGATATGCATACTTTATGAGTCAGTATTTCAATTCCCATATATATTCCCAAGAAAAACACATATATACTTTCAGTAAAAGATAAATACAAGGACTGGGGTTGTGGCTCAGTGGTAGAGCACTTGCCTAGCACATGCAAGGTGCTGGGTTTTATCCTTAGCATCACATTAAAATAAATAAAATAAAAGTATTGTGTCCAACTACAAAAAAAAAAAAAAGATAAATACAAGAACATTGGCAGCAATGCTGTTCATAATGGCCTCATGCTAGAAACAACCCACATTCCCACCAAGAGTAGAAAGGGTAAATACATTTTAGTATATCTGTACAGTGGACTGCTAGATCATTGAGAAGGAAAGACCATTATTGTTTAATATAATGCATGACAAAATTTACAAACATAATGAGAGAAGCCAGACATAAAAGAGAATGTAGCATACCATTTCATTTTCATGAAATCCAAAATTAGGTAAAATAACCATATGGTTATATAAATAGAAGAATGATTACCAATTTGGGAAAAGGAGGAGACCTTTTGGAGTACCAGAAAAGATCTGTTTATTGTCTAGAATACTGATCACACAGATATTTTCACTTTGTAAAAATTTATTAAGCTGTATACTTATTTATGCATTTTGGGGTACAAATGTTATGTTGCAATAAAATCTTCCAAAATGTAGTAGATTTTTTTTTTGTTCTTTTTCAATGGCTTGGATCAAATACAAGGCCTTGTGCATGCTAGGCAAGTAATCCCAAGCCCCCAATTTTTAAATATAGAAGAAAAGCAGTTAAAAAGGCTTCTTTTTCCCACTATAGCCTGGCCACCCAGTCCCCTCACAGGAAGCCAATAATATAATTATTTTTGAACATCCCTAGAGATAATTTTTGGATATAGAAGCAAACAAGTATATATGTAATTATACACACACGCAAATACATACATCTGTTTTCTCCTACCCACACTATATGTGTGGCAATATTTTGAACACACTGTTCTACAGTGTGATTTTATCATTTAATTTATTTTAAAGGTCTTTCTATATTATTATATTAAAAAATTCCTGCCAGGCATGTGGCACATCTTTATAATCCCAGCTATCTGGATGTTGAGGCAAGAGGATGTCAATGTAGTGAAACTCTGCCTCAAAATAACAATTTCAAAAAAGGAGCTGGGGATGCAGATTAATTTATTTAACAAGTCTCTTTTGATGCACATTTAGGTTAGATTATTTTCAGTAAAGAAGCATTCTTTATCCTGATCTATGGTGTGGTAAAGATCTTTTCCCAGGCCTCATTCTATCTTTTTAAAACAATCTGTACAAGTTGATATGTACTTAGGCAATACTTTATATGAAGGATAAAAGTAGAACTAAAATAGTTATTCTGCCTCTCAGTTCTCAGCAAGAAGGATGTAGAGACAGTTGTGGAATCTAAGAACTAGGAGGTCTGCAAGAGAATGAATGCTGGGACTCCCTGCTGTTGATGTCTTCAAGATTTTGATGAGTGCTGAGGATTCTCTTCTCAGAAAAATGTACATGTAAAATTTTGCATATATATTTTGCGGCTCAATTCATATACCTCTTAATTCATATATGAAGTCTAGATTCTGGATCTTTTAATCTAGACTAGAGGTGTAGCTCAGTGGTAGAGTGTATGCTTAGCATGTATAAGGCTCTGCGTTTAATCCCCAGTACAAATCTGATATAAATACATCAATTTACAAATTGAGAAACAGAACTAGAAATGGGAAGAGAGTCTCAAAACAAGGTAATGGCAGAAGACAGTCACATGTATTCTTGTTAAAATAATGCCAGTAATTTTCTCTCTCCTGATGTTGTTACCCAAACTGTTAAGGGAAGCCACCCATTCCTTCCCAAGAGAACTTCAGCTTGTAGGTAGGGTAATCTGAGAGAAAAATGGTGAACAAATTTATTTGAATGATTGAATTTTTAAAAAAGATCCAAATGGTATGATTGGGATTTCTTGTACAATACTTTGATTTATTTTCTTTCTCTTTTTGTTTTCGGTCCAGTCCAAGAAGAAGAAGGGAAAAGTGGAAGTGAGACCCATTAATTTGGGGACAGATTCTGAATATGGGGTTTTAAACATTCATTTAACTGCATACGACATGGCCCTGGCAGAGAATTATGCCCAGTATGTTCATAACCTCTGCAACCATCTCTTCATCAAAGTCGAGGAAAGGTATGAAAGGAGCCTTTGGGTGGATGTTTTTGATGTAGCATACTCTGTCTTTTTCATTTCTTTTTTAAAGAGAGAGAGAGAGAGAGACTTTTAATATTTTTATTTTTTAGTTCTCGGCGGACACAACATCTTTGTTTGTAGGTGGTGCTGAGGATCGAACCCGGGCGGCACGCACGCCAGGCGAGCGCGCTACTGCTTGAGCCACATCCCCAACCCTCTATCTTTTTCATTAAATCATGTTTTTTGAGGAATAATTTACATGTAGTATAATCCCCCCACACACACTTTTTTTTTTGGTACTGAGGATTGAATTCAGGGGCACTCAATCACTGAGCCACATCCCCAACCCTATTTTGTATTTTATTTAGAGACAGGGTCTCACTGAGTTGCTTATTGGCACCTTGCTTTTGTTGAGGCTGGCTTTGAACTCACGATCCTCCTGCCTCAGCCTCCCAAGCCACTAGGATTACAAGTATGCACCACTGTGCCCAGAAAAATTCACCTTTTTTTTTTAGATATATAGTTTGTCACAATCAAAATTTATATTCCATTAGCATAGAATTTTCCATGTCCTCTGGTATAGTCAGTCAGTCTCCTTCCCCTGCCCTACTCAGTTCCCTGGCAACCAATGATTGATTTTCTGTCCCTGTTGTTTTAACTTATTCAGAATATCACGTAAATGGGATCACACAGTATGTAGCTATTTCTCTGGCCTCTGACTTAGCATGATGTGTTTGGGAGTTATTCATGGTTATTCAATTTTCCTTTCCCCTTTTCCCCCAGCCCCTGGCAACTACTATACTATTTTTCTGTTTCTGTGTCAAGTTTTAATTTATTTTTATTTTTTGAGGTACTGGAGATTGAACTTAGGTATGCTTTACCACTAAGTTACATCTCTAGTCCTTTTTATTTTTTATTTTGAGATAGTCTTGCTGAGTTTCTGAGGCTGGCCTCAAATTTATAATCCTCTTTCTTCAGCCTCCCAAGTAGCTTGGATTAAGTTTTTATTGTTTTAATTCTGGTAATACATATAAAGTTTATCATTATAACTTTTTTTTTTTTTTTGCATACTGGGGATTAAACCTGGGGTCACTTTACCACTGGGCTACATCCCCAGCCCATTTTAGTTTTTATTCTGAGACAGGATCTTGCTAAATTGCCAAAGCTGACCTCAAATCTGTGATCCTCCCTGTAAGCAAAAATAACCAACACAGCTTTTGTACTATAATGAAAACACAAATAACCAGGATGGAAGCACCTCAAATGGATTAGCAAGCTCTCCTTTATTCTACAGTGAAGTCAATCAGTCAGGCTTGGGAGGGCTCATTTTCTGGGTTCGGAATGGCCCCAGGGTTACAGAAGAAGTCTTGAGTTTTATAGTTTACAATAAGGGTGAATTAATCATTGAAGACTACAGAGGTGCTGTTCCGACCTAGTTGTGCAGGTTAAAATTTTAACTTAGGAAGGCAGTTGTAAAAAGTTTGTCACTGGGAATAGCTCAGAACTGGGTTTTCATTGCTTATCTTCCTTCCTCTGAGACCCATTGTTAGCTAGAGCTTCACTATTTGCTTTTCTCCTTCTAGGACTCATTGGCAATGGGAAAGGGTAAAAGTCCAGGGCCCAGCGTTTCTGTATCTACCTCCTCTCTTCAGGACACCCACTGTGGTTGCGAGGGATGAATGTTTGCTTTTTGTGGAGACGCTGGGGATGAACCCAGGAAGGGATGAAAGTTTGCTTTTTCCTTTGAGTCCCATTGTTACTGGGAAAGGAGGTTCTGGGAGAGGTTTAATGTTTGGCTAATTCCCTCCCTCCTCCTGAGCCACACTGTCACTCCGTTTTTCCCAGGGGGCTGTCGTGTGGGAATATTAGCCTTCTGAATCACTGGGATTATAGGTATGTGCCACCCACACCTTGCTCCATCTTAACTTTTCAATTTTTATTTTTGCAGTGTTGGGGATTGAACCCAGGGCTTGATGCATGCTAGGCAATTGCTCTACCACCTAACCTCTTAACTGATTTCAAATGTACAGTTCATTGCCCAGCATAGTGGCACATGCCTGTAACCCCAGCAACTCAGGAGGCTGAGGTAGGAGGATTGAAAGTTTAAAGCTTTAAACTTAGTGAGGCCTTAAGCAACTTAGTGAGACCCTGCCTCAAAGTCAAGAATAAAATGGGCTGGGGACGTGGCTCAGTTGTTAAGCATCTCTGAATTCAGTACCCAGTACCAAAAAATGATATGAACCATCACCACCAACCATCTCCATAACCTTTTTTATTTTGTAAAATGAAGACTCTCTCTATACTCATTAAATAACAATTTTCCTTTCCCCTTTTCCCCCAGCCCCTGGCAACTACTATACTATTTTTCTGTCTCTGTGTTTTGACTGTTTACCTCATATAAGTGGAATCATACAGTATTTGTCTTTTTGTAACTGTCGTAATTCACTTAGTGTAATGTCCTCAGAATTCATCCATTTTGTTGCATATGTCAGAATTTCTTTCCTTCTTAGGGCTGGATAATATTTCACTGTATGTATATTTTACGATTTGCTTATCTATTTATCTGTTGATGGACACTTGGCTTACTTCCCTGTTTTAGCTGTTGTAAATAATGCTGCTATGAATGTAAGTATCACATTTTTTGAGGGGGGGTACCTGGCATTGAACTCAGGGTACTTAACCATTGAGCCACATCCCCATCCCTTTTTTGGATTTTATTTAGAGACAGGGTCTCACTGAGTTGCTTAGGGCCTTGCTAAATTGCTGAGGCTGGCTTTGAACTTGCAATCCTTTCTGCCTCAGGCATGCACCCCTGCACCTGGCTCATAGGTATACAAATTTTTACAAGTATTTTATTGCTGAGTAATATTCTATTAAATGGTTAGACTGTCATATCCATTTGTCTGTTGATGTACATTTGGACACTTGGCTTACTTCCTTGAGGAATCACCAATAAGTTGGAATGGTGATTATGAATAAAGCCAAAATAAGCCTTCTCGTATAAAATTCCAAGGACCATATGTCTTCTTTTTTCTTGGCTCTGTAGCTAAGAATGTGATTTTTGGATTGTTTAACTTTATAGGGAACTAACAAATGGCTTCACTATTTTGTATTTCCACTAGCAATGTAAGAGTTCCAGTAACTCTTCATCCTGGTCAGCTCTTGATATTGCCAGTTTTTTAAAAAGTCCCTTAAGCTGGGTACAGTGTTGCACACCGTATTCCCAGAGACTTAAGAGGATGAGGCAAGGTGATCATAAGTTCAAGGCCAGTATCAGCAATTTAAGGAAACCCTGTTGGTATGTAGTGGTATCTCATAGTGGTTTTAATTTGCATTTCCCTAATGATGTTGAATATCTTTTTATATCCTTATTTGATATCTGTATATTTTCTATGGTGGCATATCTTTTCAGACCTTTTGTTCTTATTAAAAATGACATTTTTTTGTTATTGAGTTATGAAAATTCCTTATCTATTTAGATACCAGTTTCTTAGCTGGGCATGGTATCCCATGGTTATAATCCCAGTGTTCGATCCCCAGTATCAAAATAACAACTACAAAAAAATGATAGTTTCCTTTTTTAATTTATATTGTTCTCTTTTTAAAAGTGTGTGTGTATGTGTGTGTGTGTGTAAATGTGGCTCTAGGAATTGAAGCCAGAACCTTCCACATGCTAGGCAAGAACTCTATCCCTGAACCATATCCCCAGCCCATTTTGGGTTTTTTGTTTATTTGTTTGTTTGTTTGTTTTTAGTACTGGGGATTGAACTAAGGATGCATTACCACTGAGCTACATTCACAGTCCTATTTTTGTTTTGTTTTGAGATAGGGTCTTGCTAAAAAGCTAAGGGTCCCTCTTAAATTGCTGAGGCTGGCCTTGAGCTTCCAATCCTCCTGCTTCAGCCTCCCAAATTGCTGGAATTACAGGTCTGTGCCACCATGCCCCAATTTCATTTCATATTTTATTTTGAGAGGGTCTTGCTAAATTGCCCAAACTGGTCTGGCACTTGCAATCTTCCTACCTAAGCCTCCGAATAGCTGGACTTACAGACCTATCCTACCACCATGCTTGGATCAGAAGTTCTGTTGTTTTAAGTTTTACAGTTAGTTCTGATCCATTTGAATTACCTTTGTATATAGTGTGAGATTACGTCTGTCTCCTCTTCCTCCCCCTTCCTCTCTTCCTTCTCTTCCTCTTTTTTCTTCTTTCATATGGTTATCTACTTGTTCTCACACCTTTTGTTGAAAATATTTTTTTTCTTTTTTGGGGGGTGGTACTGGGGATTGAATTTATAGGTGTTTTATTACTGAGCCACACCCCTATTCCTTTTTATTTTTTATTTTGAGACAGGGTCTTACCAAGTTGCTTAGGGTCTTGCTGAGTTGCCCAGGCTAGCCTCAAATTTGAAATCCTCCTGCCTCAGCCTCCGGAGTCTCTGGGATTATAGACATACACCACTACACTTGCTTCTTTTCTTTTTTTAAATTAAGATTTCTTCAGGCCGGTGTTGTGGCTCAGTAGTAGAGCGTTTGCCTAGCATTCGTGAGGCACTGGGTTTGATCCCTGGCACCACATAAAAATAAAAACAAATAAAATAAAGGTATTGTGTCCATCTACAACTGAAAAAAATAAATAAATAAAAAAATTTTTAAAAAAAGATTTCTCCAGTGAATTATCTTAGCACCTTTCTTAGCAGCCAATCGACCATATGTGTACAGGTTGATTTCTGGACATGATTTATACATCTGTTACATTGCTCTATACATCAGTGCTTACACTAATACACTGTTTTGATTATTCTGGCTTGATTACTGAAACTCTTTGTTCTTTTTCAAAATTATTTTGGTTATTCCAGGTCCTTTAATTTTCCATAGAAGAATCCAGTGGCTTGGGAGTCTGAGACAAGAGTATCACAAGTTCAAAGCCACCCTCAGCAATTTAGTGAGGCCCTAAGCAATTTAGCAAGACCCTGTCTCAAAATAAAAAATAAAAAGGATTG